AAAGTATATGTGAACTGCTGTATGAAAAGTGAATTTACTCTGTAAATCTTCACCCAAATCCTAAATTTAAAAAAATAAATAAATAAACTACCCACCAGCCACTCCTCAGAAGGAAGACTGAGATAACGCCTCAGAAACCCAATGCGGGGTCGCTGAGTCAGAACTGACTTGAGGGCAGTGAATTTGGGTTTTGGACTTTTAATACTACTGTTATTTCAAAACTGTACTCTGTTATGTTATTTAAATCTCTGGCCTATCCTCTCTTAAAACAAACTTTTTTAATTCCCCACAATATAGAACTCATAATACAAGTAATAGTAATCACTGAGGATGCCTATGAACACCCAAGCTTCAAATTTTGGAATATAGAAGAACTGTTTCCTCTATCTCATGAACACTTAAAAAAGACAGAAAAAAAAAAAAAAAAAAAAATTTAATGTCCAGTTGCTACAATTTCTAAATGCCAACTTTCAAACCTATCTGTACATATACAGAAGGCTTCACCAGTGATGCAACTCTACATGAAACATAGTGCTTTCCATACTTAATGCTAAATTAGTCATTTCCAAATGTAATTCTCAGCTTATAACTCTTTCATATTATCCTTTCATCTTTTCAGAGAAACATATCATAGGCCTCAAAACTCATTATTTTAGTCTAATTTCAATTTTCAATAGTGACCAAAACAAGTTGTTTGCTATTTTAGGAGCACTGCTTCTTTTCCAAAGATAGCAAGTGATTTAGTTAGCTTCAGAGCTCAAATAACTTCCTTTGATGCTGTTCTTTACTGTTTGACAAATCCTATCTTATAAGCTCTTAGGATCAAGTTTACATTGAATTAACATGATCTTGGCTACCAACTCAAATTTTGTCAGTTTACAGATGAAAAACCAAGGACCTAAGAGTTACACCTTTCATGACCAGTGGTACATATAGTTTATCACCTACATTTTCTGCTTGTGTTTACTGTGTTGTTACTATGTGCCATCAAGTCAGACCCAACTCATAGCGACCCCTCCTTGGGTTTCCGAGGCAAGTATCACTACGGAAGTAGATTGCCCCATCTTCCTTCCGAGGACTGGCTGGTGGTGGGTTTGAGCTGTCAGCCTTCTTCTGGTTAGCAGTCAAGGGCTTTAGGCACTATGCTACCAGAATTCCTACTGGGAACCTGTTATCCCACTATTGGTGAGAGCTGCCATCTCTTGGGGGTCTGTGTAACTGTGTGACTCTGAAGAAACTGGCCTCATCCCTCCAACCGTAACACCTGAGACCCTCTTGTACCACTAATTGTATCAAAATCCATTATCACCTCAGAAAAAATTTAAAAAGTTCCATCCAAAATATCTTTCATTACTGAAAACAGTTTCAACAAAAAAATTCAAGGCAGAAAACAATTCAGTCTTGAAAGGGCTATATAATACACCATGTTACTCAATTCTGAGATAGCCAGGAGCCTAAAGCATGTGACTGCTAATCAGAAGGCTGGTGGTTCAAACCCATCAGCTACTCCTCAGAAGGCAGGCTGGGCAATCTACTTCCTTAGTGATACTACCTCATAAACCCAAGGAGGGTTGCTATGAGTTGGGTCCAACTCAATGCCAGTGAGTTTGGTTTTGGTTTAGGAGAAGAACTCAGCATAACTTATTAATACACCATGAAATCACTGATGCCTATACTTCAAAAGTTGCTGGATCAAATTAGAGCCCATAAAAGCAGCTCAGGAAACATATATAAGGGAACATATTAAAGTTAACCAAAGATATGCAGCTTTGATTTATATTTCCAGATCCAAGATATAGCACTAAGCTCAGATTCTACCCTACTCTAGTACCACATAGACCAGAGACTAAATCCTATTTAGCCACTTACCAAAGGGTGATCTTGGGTAATATCTGAGAACTTTCTCTTATCTGTAAAGTGAGGATAACTATCTCATCAAATTGTTGGTAAAATTCAATAAATATATTTAAAGAAGCTTGATTCTGCAACTACCTAAGTGAAAGACCGCAGACTAGCAGTGGATGGCTGAATATAATTAGCTAGAAAAATACACGTCTTTAATTATTCTAGTAAAGCATTTGGATGCGAACCAGGTCAGTTAGTTCAAACCCACCAGCTGTCCCACAGGAGGAAGATGAGGCAATCCACTTCTGTAACTTACACCCTTAGAAACCTCAATGGGGATCACTATGAGTGGGAATCGACTCAGTGGGAGTGGGTTTTTTTTTTTTTTTTTAAAGTAGTTTACCCAAGTAATTTTGCTCTCAAATTCTACTGGGTACCAAAATTTGTGAAGTATGAGTAGCATAGCTCTAACACTCCCCCTCTCCAAAAGAAAGAAACCACAACCAACCAAACAAAATAAAAACTCAACGTTCTTCCATCTACCTAAAGCTTATTATTTATTCTCTTAAAATAACTCTAATGTCAACATTATCTTCACATCTTCACTAGGGAGTTTCTTCCAAAACCCTACACTAACACAGAATTTCTTTGTGGTAAGCAGTCATAAAGTTTGCAGATCACTATGATTGTGACTCAAATACACCTCCTTTATTAAAAGAACAGTTGTGTTGAGCATTGTAAAGTACTTAATATTACACGGGGTTCATATAACTCACTCATCACAATTTCATCATTAACCACACAAAATTATGATTCCATAGTTTCTTTTAAATTTTGCCACTATCTTAAATATTCTATACCTTATCTACTATCAAGTACCATTCCCACCAATAGTAAATCAACCTTTTATCCTTAACCCAACAAACTCATAGAACATGACACTTCCACTACTTATAGTGCTTCACTTTAACAGCAACTTTCCCTGGAGGAAATGACTGGTATATAACTTCTACTTGTATTGATGGAAACTAGAGACAGGCATTGTATTATTTCTATCAGCATATTCTGAATGCCAATGCCTGAAAAAATGAAAACTTAAAAAACAAGGTTTTTTTAAGATATAAACTCAGAAAATGTTCTTTGTTCTTATAATACATTTTAAACAAGCCAGTAATGCTACATCCCTCAAATTCTGTATCAATGGAAAAATACTAAGAGATGGAAGAACTAAGGAGATCCAGTAGTGCACTGGTTGAAGCATCTGGCTGCTAACTGAAAGGTTAGTGGTTCAAACCCAACATTTGCTCCCTGCAGGGAGCTCTGGTAGCACAGTGCCTAAGGCACTTGACTGCTAACCAGAAGCCTGGCAGTTCAAACCCACCAGCCACTCCTTGGAAGGTTGGGCAATCTACTTCCATAGTGATACTACCTCGGTAACCCAAGGAGAGGGTCACTATGAGTCAGGTCCGACGCGATGGCACATAACAACATGAATATGCATAGGAGAAAGTCCCAGTTATTTACTTCTTATAAGGTTGCTGTGAGTTGGAATCAACTCAACAAAAGTGGGTTTGACGGAGGAACTAATTTTAAAATGGCCATGTTTTCCAGCTTTTCATTGTCTCAGAATAAAATCTGTACACTTGTAAAGAGTCCAAAGTACATTGAGCCATGAATTCTAAATACTACAAGTTCCTTTATTTCAAACATTTAGTGTAATTTTTAGAAACCCCTAACTCTACCCTCCAGTTCCCACGTACTCAATGTCCTAGACCGCCCATCACCAGAATTAACCATTACTACTTTTCCCCCAAGTAAGGTAGTTAGGTTTAACATATGGCATCTTATTCCCACCCTCCATTTTCAGATTACAGTGTGTTGATAATTGTTTGGCTTAGGGCTAAAAGGCTTCACTAAACTATGTATATTTCTTTTAACAACAATAAAATTTTTCTTAAAAACATATGTATACTCCTTAACTACTTGTAAGCCTATGTACGACAATAAAAAAAAGATTAACCAAATTAGAATTAACCACGTTAAAAACATTCCATTTTTCAAACCAATAGAGACATACAGCCATACATACACATACACAGGTGTACCTCGGAGATATTGCAAGTTCGCAATAAAGCAAGTCACATGAATTGTGTGGCTTCCCAGCACACAAAAGTTATATTTACATCATACCATATTTTATTAAGTGTGCAATCACATTATGAAAACATCTGAAATATGAGAATTACCAAAATGTGACTGACACACAAAGTGAGCACATGCCATTAGAAAAATCGTGCCAATAGACTTGATCCACACAAGGTTGCTACAAACCTTCAATTTGTGAAAAAAAATTAAAAAAATAAAAACACTGAGCATCTGCACGTACAATAAAGAGAGGTACACCTGGGTGCACAAAGCACTCATCTGAAGTAATATCTGAAGGATGAGGGTACAGAAAACAGTAAAATTCTCTCCTATCAAATAACAGCATTAAAATCTTTGCATTATAATACATTATTAATAAAAACTTAAACTGGTTCCAATGCTGGAACAATAAAAGGGTTACTGCATATAAAGCCACTTACTTATTCTCAGTGTCTGCCACTGGATGTTCTTCACCTTCAGGTGTTTCCTCAGTCACATTTGATTGATCCAAGTCACTGCAATTATAAGACATTTGTTTCTGAATGTATTTTGGGCACTCTCTAAGGAAAGAAAGAAAAAAAGAAAGGCATCTAGATCCATTTACATGTAGCTGAAGGGTTTTTTAATACAAAAATATTAAAATCTCTCAAGTTCCTCAAGAGTCTTTTTCTATTAAATTCACTCTCCAGTAGACTTCTAAGAGAAAACAATATAAAAATGTATACTAGTTAAACTGGATTTAAGTCATTTACCCAAAAAGTGACATGACAGTTAGTTCTAAAACAAAGCCTTAGTGGCTTATAAAATTTTGTAATGACCAAAAGGCCAATAGCTAGAAAAGGAAACATAAAAGACACAAAGATAATCAGAAGACCAAAATAACTCCAATCTCAGATTATAGGAAAAGCTATACATTCATATGAAAATACATATACATAATATACATACATGTGTGTATATGCAGACACACACACACAAAAAATCAGTCATTTTATAAATTTTAAGCCAAGTACATCCACAGTTAAGATACTATCTATCTTCTATGAAAACAGCTGAGACAAGAACACTCATTCTAGCCCAGGGACAAGTAAAACTTAACAGAAGTACGAGTGAACCTCTAGTTGATCTCTAGTAAGGTACACATCAATTTTATTAATATTATTTATTTAAAAAAATCAGAATACCAACGTTAATTCATCTTTGACAGTTCCCCAGTTGTGAGATCCGCTACCTCCACGTTTGTCTTCGTGCTTCAGGCCACTATAATGTGAAAAAGAACTAAAAAAACTGAGTTAACATAATACTCTTTAGTTACAGAAACTCAAATTGTTTTGTTAAAGAAATAGCTCAAAATATAAGAATAAAATAAAAACCAACAGAAGACTTACGATCTATCACTTCCACTATGCCTATCAAATTCACGTTTGCCACGAGAATCAAATCCATCTCCTCGGCCCATTCCGCGTCCACGGCCACCTCGACCTCTTCCAAGACCACCACGGCCTCGGATAGGCCGGTCAATGATTGGTCTACAAGACAAAAAATATACTCCCATTGATCCAGAAAAAGGAATAAGGAACTCCATTTGCACTCAAGTGCAAAACTACAGAAACATGTTTACTGGCTCATAATCTAACAGTTAATGTGTTAATCCTAGCATGTTTTAGGAAAATCAAAATAGTCTATTCTTAAAACACATAAATCAAAATAATTAGGTAGGCCCGAAACAACAAAATTATTTTGGCATTCTCTAAAACATTACTACTAGTACACAAAGCCTTTTTAATTAGTTCACATTACAATCCACACAAAACCGCTATTAATTAACACACTTTAATATAAACCTATGTGACCTGCTATGGGGAGCTCTGGTAGCATAGTGCCTAAGACACCTGACTGCTAACCAGAAGGCTGGCAGTTCAAACTCACCAGCCACCCCTCGGAAGGAAGATGAAGCAATCTACTTCCATAGTGACACTGCCTCAGAAACCCAAGGAGGGGTTGCTATGAGTTGGGTGCGACTCGACAGCATACAACAACCTGCTATGAGTTAAACTGACTTCACAGCAGTGGGTTTGGTATTTTTGTTAACCTGCGTAAGATTTTGTATAAATAACTAGTTAAAAGGATTCTGCTTTTAACTTTAACACATGACATGTTTTTGTTGTGTGCTGGTGGGTCAATTCTAACTCATAGGAACCCTACAGGACAGAGTAAAACTGCCTTATAGGGTTTCCTAGGCTGAAATCTGTAATAAACAGATTATCAGTTTTTTCTCCCATGGTGCACCTAATGGGGTCAAACCATGGACGTTTCAGTTAGTAGCACAGCACTTAACAGATACGCCACCAGGGCTTCTTATTAGGAAGAAGTACCAGCTATCAATTCAAATGAAGTGTTTCATTACAAGAAATCTGCTTGAACACTAAAAAATGGTTATGAAAAGGTCTAAAGTAAAACAAATACCATGTATTCAGATGTTTCTCTTAAAAATAAAATAAAAACCTGATAAAAGTAATTAACCAACTGCTATCTGGCAAGCAGGCCCAACTTACAGTTTGTGAAGATGTGAGACTATGAACAGCTAAAACATAAAGAGATTAAATGTAAAGAAAAAAAAAAAAAAAAGAAAACTTACCTATCAACTGAAAATTCTCCTCCTTCACCCTTTTCTTCAAGTGGTTTTTCAAATCGTCTTTCCCGAGGTGGTCGTCTTTCTGGTCTTCTATCAATTATTTTCCCTTCACCCTGAAGTTGTTGATCAGGTCTTCTTCCAACACGTCTTATTCCTAAAATGACGATAGCTAATTATTTTTGCAGCATAAAAAAGTTCAGATCTAAGTTTAAATAAATCACTACTTTCAGTTAGCTAAATAGCACTTCCTGTTGAAAAAAGCAAACACTGAATGTCATTTAAGTGTAATACTTTAAGGAAATTCCTATTTAAAGAAAATAAGTTTTCCTCAAGCATCTATTTAGTTGTCCAAATCACTTTTTCCCTCTGAAGTATTATTCCCTGTAACTAACCTGGAAGTCATTTGGGAAGCCATTATTTCTTATTTTCAAGATGTCACTGTCAATTTACAAATATAAGTTAAAGAAAACTTAAGGAAATAATAAATTTTGGCTTTAAAAATACCTACCTAAGAAGTTAAAACTAGTAGCCGTTCATTAATAATCATCAAATCATCACATTCAGCAAATGTAGCCCCTCAAACCACTGAAGACTACCCTGTTTTATTCTACTTTATCTAGAGGAATAAAAATCCTACATCTGAAAGGAAAGCAAATGGCATTTATGATTACTGGAATACATTCACATAGCTTAAAACAGGTATTTCTTTAGAAATTATGCCATCTTCCTTTACTAGTATCTATACATATAATAAACATATATGTTTATATACACCATCATATTTTTAGAATACTGTTATGACACCACTAGAAAACTGTTCAGTTATTTTTTATTGTGGGTGGAGAAAATTTTGTTTGTCCTTAGAAAAGAACACACACACAAAGCCTCTCTTTAACCAGTATTTTTAAAATAGAAAATGTGTGGCACTAAGTGATAGCTAAAGCATTTACTGATCTCCCCTCCTTATTACTTTTTCCCCCATTAAGTGTCTGAGGACCACCAAATCGACCAGTTAAATCTGTCAATTCATAAATCCATCTGTAAGATTTCAGGTATGCTGTAAGTCCCAAACCACAATTTATGATAAGCCAAAAAGCAGCTGAGGGATTGGTTCTGTAACAAGATCTTAAGTTAATTCATTCTGGTTCTTTCTAAGAAAGTGGAATACCATCAGGACACACCCAATTAGCTATTCTGTTCAGTGTACAGTAGCTGTAATCAAAATAGCAAGTATTACTCTCTAATAAAAATTTAAAGTTCATTCTGTGTCAACTCTCAGAATAGACCACAGATGTTACATCTTACACCAAGGAACATAAACAAGTTTCTTCAGAAGTACAATGTATTGGGGTGGGGCTATGGAACCAGTCCTTATATAATGATATCCAAGCTAAACACACCCAAATGAACAATGTCTTGCTTCCCCACCCAATATTCAATATTAGGCTTAAAGAATCTAAAAAACTTACTAAGTAAATTCACCCAACAAAAAAAATGATTGACATTAAAAACACAATCTTCTCTTGCTGTACTTTTTATACTTCTGTGCTGATTTTCACTAGATTCCAGGATTTTATTATCCCAATAAAACCTTTAATGGGCTACATCCTTGGCAACATTCGGTTGTGTCAGTTGTCAAGTTCTTCAAATGGACAAAAATGACAAGCTACAAAATTAATTCATATAACAACAAACACCAAATATTTACCCGAGGTATGTACTGCACTGTACCAGGATCTATCATCCTTCCCATTACAAGAGGAGAGTGACTGTTTACAGGTTTATCCCCAATGTCTAGAACACTGCCCAGACAAGTGATAGGGGCTCAAAACAAATTGTAGTTTTCATTCAACTTTTTTCTATGTTGGCAAGCTTATGTTTTATGCAACTCAAATTAAAGGGTACTCTCAAATGTTGATGTAAACAAAATATTGGGAGTTAATATGGGAACAATTTTCTCAAGGAAAAAATGACTTCACAACGGTGAACTCAGTCCTGGTTGTAAATTTACAAAATACTAGTTTCTTGTTAACAGTTTATTTCAAAGATAGGCTTCTGTTATCAAAACAACCGAGTCATGAAACCATGCTTCTCACATGCTTTCAAAATTCACTGTGTGAACACCCCTACCAGGCAGCATTTTAGATTTAGATTTCACACGCAATTCTTTCATGTGCTTTCTTTGGATGAGTGTAATTTAGGAGACAAATTCGAGCAGTTTAAATAATTACTCAAATGTGTTCTGTAAGAAAGGAATAATGTTTTATTCAATTGTGCTACAGGTGGTCATAAAGCTTAGTTGGCTGAATAGATACTAAAGTGATGTATACATGTTTTCCAATATTTCAACATGCGCTTTCCCCCGACCTAATCTTAACAGATTCTTCTCTTTCATTCACTATAGGTTTTTCCACAGTCTAAAAAACATTTAGTAAAAAATGTCTTAAACCAAATTCCAGTATCCTGAGCACTAGCTAAATTTTGTTTTTTTTCTCATTAATCCAATGGTGATGAAAAACACCTCCTTTCAAGAGCACGTGGCACTAAAGGGGAATCTCAACTTTCAACGAATAAACGGAACTTACATCCTACACCTGCTTTTTCTTCTATCCTCAATTGTTCTGCACATTGTCATCCACCAAACAGTAAACCAGTAATGAGTGAAAATGCAAAAATCAACTCAAGACAATCCTGTGAAATTCAGTGCCCTGAAAGTAACTATCGCCACCCAGTAAAATTCTGACCATGCTTCCACATATACACAAAAAGCTGCAGGCTCAAGAGCTCAAGCAGCCGCTAATGTTGTGACAGCCTCTGCACTCATTTCACACCACGAGGCCCAGGCCCCGCCACACCATATGAAATACAAAGTGCGCGGAGTTCAGAACACGAAAGCCATTCTCAAGATTTCTTGCAACCATAGTCTTCAGAATTCCCGCTTCTGTTTAATCGAGTGTAACCAACTTGTTCTCCTAGCCCAACAATTCAACTAAGTCCAGAAAGTTGTAAAATTGTAACAGTTGAGGGGAAGGGGGGCATGAGGCACATGTGGCACTCCAAACACCATCCTACTCTACAGTATCTGATAGTCTCGAATTCAGAAACAGCTCACGTCTAAATTCTGACCCCCAGCTTTTCACAGGAGTACCCCATGTTATCGTAGGGCAAGATGATAGGATAGAAGGCTAAACAGACACCACCACTTCAAAGGAACACGCTGAGAAAGGATTCTGCGCTGGAAGAAACTGTAGATCCCAAGCTTCTCCACCAACTAATAAAGCTTCAGTAAGTGCCTGGCTCCCCAGCACCTCAGTCCATGCTCTTGCCCGCCAAGGAATCCGGCGGGAAGGCAACAGCCTCCCAGGACCCGAGCACGATGGAACAAGTAGCTTATCTCTGGACCACGCTCCTCAGCTCAGAACCTGAGGCAGGAAGGGGGTGGCTCCGGAGATCCCTGCAGACAGTGATTAGAATCTGGGACTAGCATGCTCCCTGCACTTTACAGGACCTGGTTTTTGTCGCGTGCGAGAAACGTAAAGAAACAGGCGGCAAAATCTGTGGCGGCTCCTGGGAGCTCCAGAAGCAAGTGACAGCCGCAACTCCCCTCGCTCCTTCCCTGGTCTTCCCCACCTTCCACCCAAGCTTTACCTTCTTTCTTAAGCGCCACAGGCGGCTGCGTCTCCTCTTTCTTGTCAACCACGCCAGCATTTGGAGGCAGTGGGTTCTTGCGGTCTTTCTGGGACTCTTTACGCAGCTGTTTGCCTGCCGCGTTGGAGTTAGTCTGGGCTGCGGCCTGAGCTGCGCTCTTGGCCCCCGGGCCCCCAACGCCGCCCCCGCCGGCTTCTTTTTTCTTGTTCTCTGCCGCCTTTAACACCTCAAAGGGATCCGATTCGTCGTCAAATAATTGGTCAAATCGGTTAGTGACCACGCAGCCGAAGCCTTCCTGTAAATGCCCAGGCATGATGGTGGCTCGCCGGCGCGTTCCTCCACGGATTGCAGCGGGCCGCGCCGAGCCAAGAGCGCCTGCTTCAGCTCTTCCCACAAGATGGCCGGGCCGAGAGAAGGGGGCCGTCTTCTCTTCCGGCGCCAAGCAACATCCGGGAGCGGCCAGTGCCGCATGGCACCATGGGCTATGTAGGCCAGAGTCGCTTCCTCAAAGGCAACTCTCGGCACTGGGACTACATTTCCCAGAATTCGTCGCGAGACAACTCTTCGCGCGCGCCTTATAGGCGGGACCTCAGGAAGGGAATGGAGCGTGCTAGCTGAGGGAGGGGAAGCGTGGTGGTGGGCGGAGTCGTGCCACCTGCTCTCGCCACCCTTAAACTCTGGTCTACAGCTGCAGTGAAAACAGGAAAACGTGACGGCGTGTTTTACTCGAGAAAGTGCTCTGTCTTTGGTTTTACTCACCCCTCCTCCAGCTCAAGTCTAACTTTCTCCACCTCTCTGGGAGGGTCAAGGTGACTCCCCAATCTTTAACTAGAGACACAAACTTCCGGGGGAGGGGGATATGGAGGTACCACACCGGCCTCCAGTAGGCAGAACTCCGTCTGTTCCAAGTCCCTATCCCTCCTTCACCTATAATGAATAGAGCCTTTGCTGTTTAATGTGAAGCAGCATACGCTTCCTCTTGCAGGGACGTGAACTCCACTAGCAGAATTAAAATAAACACAAATGGAACTGTTGCGCACCTTTCCCAAGAAGAATTCCATGTTGCAACGGGTACTTTAGAGCTGTTAAGTCTTGTCAGTGCAGTACTAGACATTGGGCAAGCCTCGAAAAGGTAATGTTTGCAACAACACTTCCTAGAGCTAATCTAATTATCCATTACTGTTTGGGAGGCACGGCTAGGTGTCTGTGGTGTTAGTAAATGTGCTCAAGAAATAACATCTTAGACTATCTCAGTGTGTTTAGAAGTGCAGCGAGAGGAGAGAAACATGGTAGCAAATTAACTGACATTATTAAAAGCATTGATACTAGTTGAGACTATTATGGTTTCTTATGGAGCTCTGGTAGTGCAGGGGGTAAGGCATTTGGCTGCTAAGCAAAAGGTCGGTGGTTTGAACCCACCAGCAGCTCCATGGAAGAAAGATGAGGCAGTCTGCTTCCATAAAGATTTATAGCCTTGGAAACCCAATCTGGGTGGAATCCTTTGAATAGTAATGAGTTTGTTTTGGTTTTTTGTCTGAAAGTCCATTAAGGTAATGCAATGCTAATGTATTTTCAAACACGTTTGATAACACTTTAAGTGTTTAAATATATCGTCATAATTTTAAAATCTTTTCCCATTAACACATAATATAAAATAAAACAAATATCTTAGATGTCAAGTGCCATGAGTAACTTTAATGCCAACAACAGTTTATAAGTTTTCCCCTTTTCAGAGATGAAGCGGTTTCAGAGAGGTGGAATGACTTCACACCTCAAGTAAATGCCAGTGCCAGGAGTTAACCCAGTCTTCTGACTCTACTATGATTCTGTTGACATCAACTCTTTAGTCTAGACTCTGCATTCTGATAGAAGTCAATCAATTACTTATTAATTTCCGATACTTAGATCATTGCATGTTGGTCAGAGTTTTGAATGTAATTTTATCAATTTCTTAGCAGATTTTAAATTAATTCCTTAATAGGAAAAGGAGCTCTGGTAGGCCTAAGGCATTTGACTACTAACCAGAAAGCTGGTGGTTCAAACCCACCAGCCACTCCTCGGAAGGAACGCACGCACTGCCATTGAGTGGGATCCAACTCATAGTGACCCCTTCTTGGGTTTCTGAGGCAGTATCACTACAGAAGTAAAAAGTTGGTCAATCTACTTCTGTAGTGATACTGCCTCGGAAACCCAAAGAGGGGTCGCCGTGAGTTGGATACACTTGACAGTAATGGGTTTAACAGGAAAAATAGAAGACAGTCATGTTACAGACCATGTGACAGCAAGCTTTGCTTCTAACTCCTCCCCAAAGCCAGCCTGTTTCCCTTTTGCCTCAGTCCCCACCACGCACATCCCCATCTCACCCCTTTTCCACAGCCTCTGGCTCTTGTGGCTCCTACCAGGATAACAGACCAGGAACTTTGACTACACTCTTCCCACTCCTTTGGAAACAGCTCAAGAGGAATTTGGAAGATCTTCATACTGTAGCCCCAGGGACAACTCAGGGACACCCAAAGCAGCAGGCCATAAGAGCAGGAGAAAGGGGATTAAAAGCCAGGAAGCCAGACAGAGGTACAGTCAGCCACAGGGACCCAGGTGGGGGTGATACGAGAGGTCTCCAACAGCAAGACAAACTTGTCTGTCGGTTTGTTCTACTGTGGTGACATGTAGACATGAGTTTTGAGGCTGAGCCTCTGGTGTTTAAAACCCAGCAAGATGCACCTGGTGCACAGGTAACAGCCCAGCTTATAGACTGAGACAGACTAGGAAGAAGGAAGAGGCCATCCACTTCTCAAAGAATTGGCCAGGGAAAACCTAAAAACCTTTAATCATACTTTAGCAAACCTTTTTTTTTTTTCTTCACCAGAACCAAAACAAACAAACAAAACTCCAAACCCACTGCTATCCAGTGGATTCTGACTCAGGGACCTCACGTGTTAACAGAGTAAAATTGCCCCTTACAGTTTTCTTGGTTGTAATTTTTACGGAAGCAGATCACCCGGCTTTTCTTTTGTGGTGATCCTAGGTTAACAACCAATTGCAAACCAGTTGAGCCACCCAGGACTGTCAAAATCTGCGTCTTTGGAATATCTGCTAAAGCTCTTGTTACGTCTTTCTGGCCAGTAATACAACAATGTTAATAGGTCAAATTTGATATTTACTATGTGCTTGGTATACTTTACACGTATGATCTCATGTAATCCTCACATCATATCTATGAGGAAGATTTTATTGTGCCTGATTTAAAGTGAGGAAAGTGAAGTATAGACAAGTTGAGTAACTTACCCACTCCTGTCACAATCTGGGGAACAGGGTGGGCTACTCTTTAGTCATTTTTCTCCTTTGTACAGCTCCTTAGTGTCCTTAACAGACCTTCATGACTGCCAAACTTTATTACAATAAGAATTTTTGAAGATACTACACATAGAGAAACTGCATGGTCATGGATTTATTAGGTTCACTTATGCCCCTCAAAGAATTGCCTATTAAAGTAACATAAAAATATAATCATTTTGGGGAAAGAAGGGAATCTTGTAAACATTTTTAAATTCCTTCTTCCTCTTTCTTCTTTTCTGGAATTTTGATTAATCCAGAAAAGTCTTAAGCCCCATTTTCAAAACTAAAAATGGCAAGTCTTTTACATTGCACCAAACCAAAAACATCAAACTCCCTGCTGTCAAGTCAGTTCCGACTCACAGCAACCCCTCCTTGGGTTTCCAAGGCAGTATCACTAATGCCTAATTTTCCTTCCGAGGATTGGCTGGTTTGAACCACCAGCCTTCTGTTTAGCAGTCAAAAGCCACCAGAGCTCCCTTTACATTGCACAATTATTATTTTGCAACTCATTGTTTTCACTAATGTTTGTTTTAGGAAGTTAAAAAGGGCCTTAAAAAGTGTTAAAAAGTTCCTGCTACTCCCCATTGAAAAATTTTGGCCAAATCACAAGACCACCACTTGTCTATCAGTTTGTCATACTATGGTGGCTTGCATGTTACTATGAGGCTGGAGGCTATGCTACCAGTATTCCAAATACCAGCAGGGTCACCCATGGTGGACAAGTTTCAGCAGAGCTACCAGGCTAAGACAGACTTGTTGGAAGGGGACATCCAGTTCTCAAAGAATTGGCCAGTGAAAACCTTATGAATAGCAGTGAAACACTGATATATCACTGGAAAACTTTATGAAAAGCCCTGAAACACTGTCTGATACGATGGGCGCAGGAATAGCAGCAATTGTGAGAGGCTGGTGCAGGACCAGCAGTGATTTGTTCCGTTGTACCGTAGGGTTGCTATGAGTCACATCCAACTCATCAGCACCTAACAACATAACAAATCACAAGAGAGGAGAGAGAAGAGACTTCCTGGCAGACTCTGTTTTTTCAATTTAAAGGCATGAGTTACAAAGTAACAAGTCTGTTATTAGATACCACCAAGTAGAAATGTGGCTTAAAATAACAACTCTGTAGTTATACTCCAAATACTCCAAACACATATTATTTCTGAAAAATACTCTAGCAACTACATGGCCCTTATCTATATATAGCAAGCTCCCAAAAGAGGGTTTTGTTTTGTTGTTTTAATCAATAAGTGCTGAAAATATCCAAATGCCTTGACTGAATATCCAATAAAAATGCACTGCATTGGAGTCGAATGCAACTCATGGCGACCCCTCCTTGGGTTTCCCGAGGCAATATCACTACAGAAATAGATCTCCCAACCTTCCTTCTGAGGAGTGGTTGTTGGGTTTGAACCACCAGCCTTCTGGTTGGTAGTCAAATGCCTTAGGCACTATGCTACCGGTGATCCTGAAAATCCAGTATAGTTGCTTAATGTTATCAGGAGGGACCAGTTCCTGGAGAAAGACTTCCTTGTTGATAAGGTAGAGGGTCAGTGAAAAAGCAGCTCCTCAACAAGATGCATTGACACAGTGGCTGCAACAATGGGTTCAAACATAGTAACGATAGTGAGGATGCAGAGGACCAGGCAGTGTTGTTTCTGCTGCACATAAGGTGAGTATGAGTCAGAATCAACAGCAACAACAACAGTAATGATATGAACGAACACAAAGTTGTATCCTTTTCCAGCTCTCACCTGCTTTTAGGATTCTAACACTCAATCCCAAGCAGAAGATTGTTTTCACACATTTCTTTTTAATTATCTCAATACCCTGTTACTGTTGCTAAATAATAGCAACTATCATGTAGTACTTGGTGGTACAAACTATGCGCTTGCCTGCTAACCAAAAAGTTAATGGTTGAAGTCTTCTCAAAGCACATTGGAAGAAAGTCTGTGAGATCTACTTCTGAAAAATCAGCCATTGAAAACCCTATGGAGTACAGTTCTACTCTGATACACATGTGGTTTCCATGAATCAGACTCTGTTAGATGGCAAGTGGTGGTTGAGAACAACCGCTAGAATTTGA